CCGCCAACCGCCAAGTGGGGCCTGCAATTAGCCGGTTCCGTTTGCTTGTCATCGTCAATCTCCCCGGAATGCAGATCCCACCTTGGTATTGGTTTAGTTATCGATGCCACCAGGGACGGGGCCCCGGAGTACGTCGCCGGCGTTGCCAGCGTCAGAAACACCCACGAGGTCGAGCAGCTCGTGGAATCGGGACACTTGTACTGGCACTCGCTGGAGGACCGGACTCCGGCCCCCGAGTGAACAGCACGAAACCCGGAGAGGGCCGGTTTTCCTCCACCTGCCAAAGAGACACAGGAGACCGTTATGACCGACGGAAACCTTCCCCTCTGTGACTGCCCCGAGCCCTGCGGCTGCTATGCCGAGGGCTACGCCACCGGCAAGGACAAAGCATACTTCGAGATCATCGCCAGCCTGGAGGGACCGCCCCACGCGGAGGGCTGCGCCTGCCAGCCTTGCCAGGTAAAGTTGGCATGCCTGCGGAAGGTTATGACGCTGATTGCCCGGAGTTCCCCGGCCCTCTTTGAGCTGGTGGAAGTCTGGGCCCTGGAGGACCCTGACAACCGGCACTGAAACAGCGCCACAGGCAGAGGGTCGCCCGACCCGAAAATCCTGCGGGCCAAGTGCTTCCGAAGAGGGCTACCCCCCCTCGAAATCGACCTCAGTAAATCTCGTGATAATGTAGTCTCATCACGAACTTAGGGGAGTCCCCGAGACCATGGAAGCAGAGGACGTCCGCAGCTCCTTTCTCGCCACTACCGTCCACCTCCAAGATGACCTAGAGCTGTCGGCCCGAGACCAAGATGCGGCCCAAGCCGTGTCCGATGGGCTCCGCGATGCCAAGGCCGCCAACACCCGGCGAGCCTACCAAACGGCATGACACCTGTTCTGCGGCTGGGCCCTCCTCACTGACCGACAATCATTGCCCACAGCTCCCCAGACAGTCGCCTCTCTACCGCGGCCGCCTGGCCGCGGATGGGCAGGGCCATGGCCACCATCGAGCAGGCCCGCGCTGGTATACCGCAAGCCTTGGGGGCCGTGGCCCTCAACCCTCTCCGAAAACCTCGTGCTGTCCGCGGGCTTGGCGGCGGACCTCATCTCCGCTAAATGCCCAGCGCGGCTACCCCGGCCCTGGCGATGGCCTCGTCGTCGAGCCCGCTGGGCAGGCCGCCCACGCCGATGGCGCCGACTACGGCTCCATCGTGGAAGACGGCTACTCCGCCTGGTATGGCTATCAACTGGGGATCGCCGAAGGACTCAAGGGACCTGCCCGAGCTGCTGAGCTGCTCGGCGAAGGCGGCAGTATCCATGGAACGGACAGCGGAGGTGTAGGCCTTGCGAATGGCGAAGGTGGGCCTCAGGCAGCGGTCCATCCGGGCGTAGGCCAGCAGGTTTCCAGCATCGTCCACCACGGCCATGTCGACCTTGCGCCGGTCAGGGTCCCTGCTGTAATCGGCGATCATGGCCGCAATCGCGTTATGGGCCTGTTCCAAGCTGATCATGGGCTTGTTGTACATATCGTCAACCTCCGTGAAGCAGTCGTTGGGAAACCGGGTGGCTCACTTTCGGCCAGCTAGCCTTTCGTTCAGGCGCTGGGCTTGGAGTTCATTCAGGGGTGGAGTTCCTAGATCTCAGCACTTGGGGGTCTCATGGTGTGCCAGGGGGTGTTCTGCTCGTAGGCGTGGGCCAGCCGGAACACCATCTCCTCTCCGCCGGGCGGCCCAGCGATTTGAAGGCCGACCGGCAGTCCCCTTCCCCCGAACCCACAGGGCACGGAAATGGCCGGTGCGCTGGATAGATTGAAGGTGTTGGTGCGCATGAAGGGCAACCGGGAGGATGTCTCCCTGCTGGTCACCGGTGGGTCGTCCTGGATTGGGACAGCCTGTCTTCCGGAGGTCGGCATCACCAGCACGTCGTAGGTACGGAAGGCGGCCAGCACATCCTCACGCAGCAGGGCGCGGAGCTTCTGGGCCTTCTGGTAGGCCTGGGCCGGTACCAGGCTGCCGGTGAGCAGTCCGATGCGGTTATCGTGGCCGAAGTCGTGGAGGCGCTCCCGGACCCATTCCTTCATGTTGAGGGCTGGCTCGACCGCCAGCAACGCACCGGCGATGGCGTTGGCGTGGGCCGCCAACGGAATGGAGACCTCCTCAACGTCGGCGCCCAGCTCCGCCAGAGTGTCGGCGGCGGCCGCGACGGCGTCAGCCACGTCGGGCTCCACCATGTCGCTGTGGAGCAACTCCGTAAGAATGCCCACGCGCAGGCCCCTGATGTCGCCGTGCAGGGCCTGCCGGTAGTCGGGCACCGGAGTGTTCCAGGTGGTTGGATCCTTGGGGTCGTAGCCGGCGATGGCCGACAGGGTGATGGCGGCGTCCTCCACGGTGCGGGAGATCGGGCCTATGGTGTCCATCGACCAGACGCCACGCATCAACCCGTATCGGCTGACCCGTCCCCAGCCGGGCCTCAGCCCGACGATGCCGCACCAGGCCGCCGGACGTCGAATCGACCCGCCGGTGTCCTCTCCCAGGGAGGTGGCGCAGAGGAAGGCCGCCGTGGCCGCCCCCGACCCGCTGCTGGAGCCGCCTGCTGAGATGTTCAAGTCCCAGGGATTGCGGGGGGTGCTGAAGCGGTGGGTGAACCCGGTGACGGCGAATTCAGTGAGATTGGTCTTGCCCAGCAGAATGGCGCCAGCGTTCCTCAGGTTGGCAATTACCGTGGCGTCGTCGTCGGGGACGAAGTCGGCCAGGATGCGTGAGCCGCCGGTGGTGCGGATGTCCTTGGTCCAGATCTGGTCCTTGATTCCCACGGGGATGCCGTGCATCGGACCGCGGTAATTACCGGCCAGGATTTCCCTCTCGGCCTGCCTCGCCTCTTCCAGAGCCTGTTCACGAAGCACCGTGATAAAGGAGTTGAACTTGAAGTCGAGGTCGTCGATCCTTTGCAGGTAGGCCTCGACCACCTCCACTGGAGATGCCTCTCTGCTCTCGATGAGGCCGGCGAGTGCCGACGCGGAGTGGAGGGGAAGTTCGCTCCCGGCCATAAGGGCCTCCAAAGGTTACCGGCTCTCTATTTTCACCCCGATTCTAACTCAGGGGTTGCAAGGCATCATAGGAGGGGAGCCCCTGGGCCGTCAATTCAAAGCGCCGATTGTGCGGTGCTGACCTGACCCCCCGAAAGCCGATCCAGAATCAATGTCAGGATCCCGGACAAAAGGGGTGTCAATGGCGCCGAGCAAGTTGGGCCACTGGGGTGTTGACGTTCAGGGGAAAGGTCCTCGCTAACTGGCCAGCCTGGCCCTTGCCAATCTCCCTTGGAGGCCTTTCGTCACTGACGGTCAGTCCCACTGTTCCAACAGGTCGTTCCCTTCCAGGAAAGCAAGCATGGTGTTGATGCAGACAGCCGGGTATTCCAAGGGAAGAAAGTGAGTGGACTCCGGTACGAAGTCGTAGTTGATCTGGATCATCGTACTGAGGTCCAAGGCCGGCATAAACGAGAATGGTGTGGTGGGGTCGCTTCCGATCACCTTTACAGGACAGTTCCTTACAACATAGGTCTCGGGGCGCCAGGCGAAGAGGTACTCGTAAATCTGGGCCTCGTACTCAGGCGGGCAACGAAGCTCAAAGCCCGAATGGGTAGACCGGAGCGTTGTCTGGGCAATCAGGTCGGCGACCTCGGGTAGAACCGATCGGAAAGCCCTGGAACGCCTGATGTTCTCGGCGAATTCGGCCCTGCTGTCGAAGTGCGCCTGCCGGTTTCTGGCTCTTTGTGCCACACTATCGCCGAGTTTATAGAGGTAACTTTCCGGGGTGCGCCAGGTGGTTTATCGGAGGGTCGAAGAGCACCAGGGCGGCGAACCGTCGACCTCCTCTTGATGTAGCAGGGACACCACGGCCGACAGGGAATGGAACACACCGATGAGAGGTTTTGGGCCGAACCGGGCGCCTATACTCTCGACGATGAGTCTGCTGTCCCGCACGAAGTTGGGAATGTTGTGGTGCAGCCGGTCGCCGACAGGGTTCCATCCGTGATTCCGTATATCGTAAATGAAGAGATCGAACCGGTTTGTCAGCCCGGACCACAGCGGGTAATAGAGGTCTGCGGCAAGCCCGTTGCCGTGGCTGAAAAGGATGCGAGGACCGTGGGGGTTTCCGTGCCGTCGCACGATGATTACCTCGTCGTCGTGCATGGTGAGTGTCATAGTTGCGGAAGGCAACGGAATGCTAATCATAACTTTCTCATTTCACCACTCGCCGAACTGTTGGATGCCCCACAGTAATGGCCATCCGCCGATTACAGGCTCCGATGTAGGTTCCTTGTAGGTTCGGCAGTGTGGGTGGGTTCCAGCCCGGGTGTTGGTGAGCTGGACACCGTGGCGGTGGTCTCGTTGCTCCAGGGATTGTCCTCGTGCTGCCCTTGGTTGTTGCGCGCCCGCACCTGCACCTTGTACTCCGTTCCCGAGGACAGGTTGTTAACCGTGAAGCTCGCGGTGTTGGGGTACGCGCTGCCGCCTTCAGGGGTGTTGGCTTCCGCGTAGGCGAGGTAATCCTGGCCGGAGGGCGCCCAGCGTACCCGGTAGTCCGTGGGCGTCTCGCCAGGTGCGCTCCCTGCGACAACCAACTGGCCCTGGTTCGGGCTGGTTGCTGATGGCCCCATGGTCGTCCTGGGCCCGAACCGCAGGCTGGCCGTCCAACCACAGCGCGGCCGTCAGAAAGCTTCCCGCCAACACGAGCAGGACGACATCTGCGACCGTCAGCATCTACCACGGCCTGCAAAACAAACCCCGTGAAACACGGGCAGCCCTCCGAAAGCTTTGATGGTTGGCTACGACAAATCGACCGGCGCTCTATCTGGTATTACAACGACGGATTGCCTGGAAAGGTGATTCTTATGGTGAAATTGAACCGAGCGACCTGCTGTCGCAAGCCCCCCATGGCAGGCAGCTTGGAGTCGGACAGGAAGCATCAACCGTCTTTTTCCACCGAGTATTACAACTCGTCGTGGTAATACCAGGGCTTCGGTTCCGAACGCATCGCTGGTGCACTGCTGTACTGCACAAAGGACGCGTGACTCTCCTCCCGTAACCAGGCTAGAGTCCTGCCAGGGCTCGCGGTAGGTGAATATTCATCGTATTGCGGGGGCATTCCATTTTCCTTTTGTACCTGCCGAATTGTACCTGTCGAATAGGTGTGTTTCAGTATGTCCCTGACCCTCTTCCGGCTATTCATTGCTCACAACCGTAAATGCCTCCCAAATGCCTGCCAAATCGTTGTGCCGGCAGCAATCTCCCTCGGCGTTGAGCGGGGAGATACCGCCGGAGTTGGGCAACCTCACCAGCCTGACAGAATTGAACCTCTTCAATAACCAGTTGACCAGCGAAATACCGCAGGAATTGGGCAACCTCACCAACCTGCACGTGCTGCGGGTCAGCGAAAATCAGTTAACCGGGGAGATACCGGCTGGGTTGGGCAACCTCGCCAACCTGACAGAGCTGGTCCTCAATGAGAACCAGTTGAGCGGGTGCCTGCCAAGCAATTTGATTGGCCGGTTGGATGATGAGATATCAGACTTGGGCGGTCTCCCGTTCTGCCCGTGAAGCTCTGTCTTACCCGGCCCATCGCCGATATGGATTCTCCGCAGAGCGCACAGGAGGCGAGGCCACGTTTCCTCTCTGTGCTCCGCAACGTCCGCCGCACCAGATGCCGAGACATGCCGGCCCAAGCAAGAGGGATGATTGGAGCGCCCTTCAGTTGGGGGGCGCAGTCTTCACAAAGGATCGAGGGCATTAAATCCATACCAAGCACGGGCTTGTCATTCATGGGTATGTAGGACACGGAGATTTCAAGAAATAGGCCAAACCTGGCGGCGTGGTGGGTAGATAAATATCAGATTGTGGCCGGCCGGTCAATCACCTTCGTTGACACCAGGGATTTTGGCCACCAGGCCCCAAACAGGAGAAAGGTGGGGAGACGAAAACCTCTTCTTGCCCTCATTTTTTCCCTGGTAGCTTGGCCCTCAGATGATGATTGGTAGTACAGTTGGCCAGGCGCGTAACAAGTGTCGCTGTTGCCCGGATAGTCCGTCGAAGAGAGATCCGCGCACTCCTCACGGCCCGGTTGTGGTGAGGGACGAAGCGGGGTACCAGGCACGGTCCGTTTCAGGATCAGCTCGTACCAGGTCCTGCGACTGCTGAGGGGTGAGGGGTGCAGCCCAGGTCGTCCAGGGAATGAAGAAGACGGGGTTCAGGAAGACGGAAGGTGCGCTCTGTCGAGTTGTCCACCCTGCGCCGGGGACATCGGTTTTGAAGTGGAAGTCGGGGGTTCGTTCCGTCGGAATGAGATGAAGCGCACGGTGTATCCGGAGCGGACAGCGGCGTAGCCCAGGGCCTGGGCGAGGAAGCTCTTGCCGACGCCCGCCGGTCCCACCAGGAGGACGTGCTCGTGCTTGTCCAGGAACTCCAGGGGAAGGCGCGCGTACAGCAGACGGCGGTCCAGGGTGGGTGACGGACGCCGTCCAGTCGAAGTATGCCTAGGACGGCAGGTTTCTCCTCGAAGCGCGGCGACCAGCAGACGGGCTCGACGCCGGCCCCGGTGGCCCGGCGGTTAAATCGTCCGCTGAGGTGATTCTCCAGGAAGGGGGACGACGTATCGTCCAGTTGTTCCCTGCGGCCAGAGGCGATGCGTCTGGCAGGGTGGCGGCCAGGCGCGCCAGCTTGATGAGACTCTGAGAGGGGGGTGAGTTCGGGGTGCGGTCGTCATGGTTGACCTAATTTCATTAAACACGGGCGAAGCGGAGCCGGCCGGCGAAACGGCCAGGTTGGCCCGGGCAGGGGCAGTAGGGAGTGGCATCTGTCCAGGGCCGTGTCACCAGGATGCGTTCCAGGCGGCGGACGTCGATGAGGT